GCTTTTCAACTGAAAGTAAATTAATGCACACACTAGATTCCCCTCTGCTGCGCTGATTGGATCCTTGTGCCGATTAAATATTTCACACTGATAGAGGGATGCTGAAAGCACTCAGCTGGTAACATGGGATGTGTATCAGCGGTACAATAACTGACTTTCAAACAAAAGTCAAACAAAACCCCCAGTTTGCTGCAGTTTTGATTAGAATGAGTTTCACTTTGAATTTAAATCCTTGAGCCTGCTGCAACAATGGCTAATTAACTGTGATCTGATAGAGAAAAATGAACGCGTTCTTACTTCTAATGACAGGCAGGCAGTAAGTTGTCAAAAAAAAAAAAAAGAAAGAAAGAAAAAAAATGGAAAGGAAAAGGAGAATAAACCAATAGATAAAGCAGCTTTAAAAAAATAATGCAGTGATTTAAGTTCAGCAAATGCAAACCTCCCTGCCCATGTGTTATGTTCTGTCTGACTTAAACCAGAGTTGGTTGCTGATGGGTAGTAGAACTGGCAACAGAACTACTCCACCATCTCCTCCTTCTTCTCCTTCTCTCTCTCCTCTGTCTCCTTCTCCACTTTCTCCTCCTCCTCTTCTTCTTCTTCCATGCCCACCTCCAGTTGCAACACCTGCACATTCCTACATAGGAAAACAGCATTTCAGGAATGGTGCCTAAAACTTTTCCCTGCCAGTGTCTCCATCCTTGGTTTCAGGGAAACACACCTTAATGTCCTCTCCTTGGGACAGGCAGCCTCTCACTCAAGGGCTGTATGCAAAAGGGAGCATTTCTGAGGGGAACCTTGGGATAAAGAATACCCCACAAGGCCCTTCTCCTCCGTTAACACCCACCAGGCTCCTTTCAGTACCCATATATATATCCACCTGCATGCTCGGCCCCATATCTTTATGCCTTGGTGCTTAAGGCTGGGTAGTTGGTAAATCCTCAGATCAAGCAGCACCAGTAAGTAGCAGCTTGGATGTGTATAGTAAACCAAAATCCTAAGACACGATACCGAAGTGCTATGGCTGGTGGCCATAGGGCCTTTATGTGTTCTCACTCTTGGAATATTAAATATCCCATTGTTCAAGTGACTGTTGATGTGACAAAGGAGTAAATTAACAGAGGTCATCGCCCATGTGGCCAGAGGAGTCTGCTCAGCTGTTTGGCATGCAGGGTTTTACATTAGTGACCAGTGCTAAATTACTAATTGAGAAGCCGTAATTTCAGTTTGGAAGTGGAGAGCTGCTCTTCTGTGAGCAAACTGTCAGGGTTGTGTGGAGGGTTTTCTCTCATCCATGAGGCTGCTAAGAAGGACCCATATTGCTTTGAAAACAACTGCAATTTTTCACAGCAAAACCACTTTGTCAGGAGAGCATCATTCTAGAGAGATTAATGGACTGAAGTCTCTATCTCCAGCATGGGCGTTAAAGTATAAACATGATGGACAGTGTGTTTTAGGACCTTTCTGAGCATCTCGTATTCTGCTCTGAAAACATGAGGGGCTGTTGGGAGGCACGTGCCTGGGTTAAAATCCCTGCTATAGGGAGGAGCAGCCAAAAGCAGGGCATTCCCCATTGAGGAACGTGAGCAGATTCTTACTTCTCATGTGCATGCATGTGTGGGAAAGGAGGGCCAGGACTATGTTGGTACAAATACAAAAAAAGATTCTCTCTGCTTTGAATAGTTGAGAGCATTCCACGTCCAAGATGGAAAGTCATAAACAAGAAGCAGCCTTCTTACACATTGGGGTGGGCTTGCGTGTGACCGGCATACATATTGCAAACTCTGTTTTGCCTGTGGCATCCTGTGGTGAAAATGAAAGTTGTGCTGCTATTGAAAAGGCGTGGCTTCAAAACTGGTGTATTGTGAGGGCTGGGGTGCTGTGGACGGGAAGCTGCAACCTGATTTCCAGCATGTAGAGCCAATCAGTTTTTCCTTTTTCTCCCCCCCACCCCCCCTTCCTTTTTTGACTCTTCCATTTTATCAGCACATTCGCTGCAGCAGTGTCCAAAGCGTGCTTCGTTTCTTATTATCCATTATTCCAAAAGTGAAAGAGACTATGTTGTAGCAACTGATTCTCAAAATGCAGATTTTGCCTTGCTTTAAAACACAAGACTATTCTCTTAATTAATCTGGCAGAAATAGAGTGCGGATTTGAAATGCAGGTTGTGTGGAAGATTTCTTCTCATATTGTAACCTTTACATTGACCAATGCATCTTTATCATTGCCTTATTGGGGCCAAGGAATAAAAATGATCATTATAAAGAAAACAGCATAAGATCTCTTCTCCTACTTGCCCAATCTGACTAAAAGGGGCTTTTCTGAACTTTTGGAAGGCACACTTTCAGAAGATTTTTAAATGAGATACAGAAGAGGCTTTGTAGCTGCATTTTATCAGATAGATGATCTTTCTGTAACTCTTTTGGAAACAAAATTGAAAGACCTGATCTGTTGCCCATGCTTTCATAGACAGTTTCTAAAATGTGCAGTTATTTAAATAACATCTGCATTGCATGGTTCCCTGTGGAGGTGACTGGCACAGACTGATATGTCCTTTTAAGCCCATTGCAAGGACAGAACTCTTGCAGTATTTTCTTTATTTCCTTCAAAATGCTCCAAAACCTAAGTAGGTTTTGGAATGGTCAACATTAAAAACATTTAATATTCATCTCAAGCTAGATTTTGAAACAACCAGTAGCCCCATATTATTTCCTCCAGTTTTTTTGTTCTTGTTGTGCACACATAGACGCTTCCGTCAGTTTATTGGGAAAACGTTGACACATTACATGCAAAGATGTGCACAAATAATTCACGGTTAATACATGTAGGGAGGACAGCAGAAAAAGGCAGGATGATAGCTCGAGTAGTGAATTATTCTTTTTTTCCTTTCAAAATTTCTGCTTTGGTACTTCTCATGATGCTTTCCTATTACATTCTGTCAGGCAAGCAATAACCAACCCCCTACTTATTTACTTGCCTTTTCCACTGAGCTAGCACAAATTGTGTATCTTTTGTATCTTTTGGGATCATGGAGTTTTGTTTTCTTGGATGTTTTCTGCTTCTGAAAAAAAAAAAGAAGTGAAGTTGTATTAATGCCTGTAGGATATTATGCAGTAGAAGTTTTATTGAAATGAAAATATGAATTCAGTGTGGTATGACCAGGCATTTGTCATAAGTTTTTCACTCATTCAGTAATTAAACATTCACATTTCTGGGGAAAAACATTAAAATACACTTTAGTAATATAGGAACTACTCAATGATAGTGAATGGTTTCACTGTTCACATAAGAAGAAATCCTTGGGCCACTGCTGTCAGCAGCAAAACTCTGATGGTACGCAGCAGAGCTGGGATTGCACTCCTAGGCTAACTCTGTTAGCTTCCAGATAATGGGTTTACATCACTGGAACAAAGACAGTGTTTTTCTTCCATCTGTGAACCTTTAGTGGTGTGCATATGACATAAATCACAGCAAAAACATAACCACAAAACTGATATATTAACCTGAGAGCTTTGCATTGGCGCTGCAGATTCGTGAGGCACTGTGCAGGGAAGTTCTCAGTAGGTGGGATGAGGCATCACTCAGCTCTCCTGCACGCAGCAATGCTGCACCTGTAACAACACACTACTCACATGGAACAGATAAACAGTTTTACAGAATTTTGTCATAAGCAACGTTTCCCACGTACCAGTGGAATAGTAGAGGAAACAAATATGAAAGCAAAAGTAAGCAAAATTTAAAATGATTTATATGAAGCCACCACAATCAGTAGAATAATGCTGATATATTAAAAGGAAGATCAGTGTTCCTTTACATTAAAATATGAAGCAGGTATCTGTAATAACGCGATTTCATAAAAATATACTGGCAGTCCCCAGAGCAAGCATATTAGACCATTGGGCTTTTAAAGCATGTAGTGAGTTTAAAGATAAGGAGGCAGCAATTTCTGTAAAAGTCAGTTTGGAACTACAGGGCTTCTGCATTATTCCCAGAAGTGTTGTTTTCAGTCATGATTCTGAAAGGAACCGAGAATGTCTGTGACTTGGTATCTGCTGCTATACACAGTGTATTTAAAACAGGCTACAAACAAAACTCTAACTGGCATTGCTGGTACAGCAGCAGCCCTAGAAATGTGGGGAGCGCTCCTGAAAGGCTGCACACACATCAGATGCAGCCTCTAGCCAACAGCACTATCAAGTGCATAAAGGCAAACATTGGCAGAGGTCTTCACAGGACTTACCTTTACTTCCAACTCTAGAAGAAATGAGATGCTTAGTACTTCTGAGTATCAGATGAGGCTGGGAACAGTCTATATCGGTACGCAGCCTACCTAAAACAGCATTTCTAAGAACAGCTCCTGGGGTCACTCCAAGTGCAACAGCTCCATAAAGCTTTTGCTTTTCAGAATCGAGCATTTGACACAAACACAGACACGTATGGTGTGGCCCCTCCACACGGCTGCACAGACCTCCGACACCGCTCTTGGGTACCATACCTGGGTGCTACAGGTGAGGGCAGCTGCTCTGCTGTGATCTCAGAGCTGTGAAGAGAAACAACGAGACTGAGAGTTAGGACGGATGCTTTAGAGAAGAGGTTGCTTGAAACACCTGAAAGGAAGAAGAAAAAAAAAATTAAAAAACGTAGTTTAAAGGTAAGAAAACATGACTCGCAAGTAAGAGCAAGGTGAAAGAACGAGCACTCAGCGAGCGTTCAGAGTGAGGCAGTGGGTGAGAGAGGCAGGCACAGTTGAGAAGCGGTGCTCCGGGAGTCTGAGAAGCCGCGTTTTGCTGTTTCTCACGCACACCGCAGCACCACGAGCCCCGTGCTGCGGGCCGGAGCGGGGCAGGAACGGGATGGGCAGTGTGAAGACCGCAGCGTCCCTGCAGCTCCCGGGATCCCCGCACCGCGACCCGGCGCCCCCCGCCTCCCAGCGGCGAGGCTGCGGGCGGGAGCGTCGCGGGCCATGGGGTGACGACGCTCCTCTCTCTGCTTCCCTCCCGCAGAAGCTGGCGGTGCGGAGCTGCCCCGCGGCCGTGCTGGTTGGCGGCGGCTCCGGCGGCAGCGCCAAGCCCGGCGGCGTCCCGGCGCTCCTCAAGGCACCCGGCGGCGGCGGCGGGAGTCCCGGCGGCGGACCCGCGCAGAACCTGGCCATCTCCGTCGTGCCGGCCAAGGCGCCCATCGCGATGGTGACGGCGCACCTGAACGGCGGGCTGGGCGGCGGCGGCGGCGAGCCCCCACAGAGCGCGCCCATCAACCTGCAGACTACGGGCACTCGCCGCCCGCCCGAGCTCGGCGCCCGCGCCCAGGTAACGGCGGAGGGCGGGCGGGGCGGGCCGCGGGGTGGGGCGGGCAGGGAGGCGGGCGGGGCCGGGTCGGCCCGGGGCGGGGGGGGCGCCTGGGTGGGAGGGGGGAGAGCGGCTTGAGGGAGCGCGGCGGGAAGGGATCGCTGTCTGCGGTCAGCGCACCGTCGCAGTGGGTGTTCCTGGGTGTGCTGTGCTGAGAGAGGGAAGTGGTGCTGACGGAGTTAAAAGGGACGTCTGAAACTTTACAGTTTAGAGTGTGGTTGCTAACGTCTTTCCTACTTTCTGCACGTAGGGGCAGTGGTGACGTGCTTTTTGCATCCCAGTGCCTCTCCATAAGCTCAGGATAAGAGTCCCTGATCATAGGATGGCCTGGGTTGGAAAGGACCACAGCGATCATCTAGTTTCAACCCCCCTGCTATGTGCGGGGTAATCAGTACTGAAGAACACAGGGACTGTGTGTGGCACCAGGCAAGCAATAACTGAACTGTCCATAAGTTAAGGCTGGGCTGGAACCTGTGGGGCTGTTGGATACCCGGGGAGATCCTTCCTCAGTGGCAGAGTGAGGGAGCAGCTCACCTTCACGCAGCTAGCAGAAGGGAAGTGCGCCCAGCTGCTGGGGAACAAGTGCTGTCCCCCTTCTGGGAGGGCACTGCTGTCTGTGCACTTACATTGATGCAGCTGCTTGAGGAATTCAGCTTTGAATCTCTGGTCTGTAACCATGCTGGGTCATTTCCTTTACTGAAGGTGTTGCTTGTACTTCATTAAAAAGATGGTTGAAGCTCTTCCAGTCGATCTTTCTTAGACTTTTGGAGAGTAATCATAAAAGTGGTAAGTGCGTAAGTGATGAAAGTTTCAGTATTTCAGTGATCTATCATTTTATGAGAGACTGTCTTTTCCCATCACTGTTGCATTCTATAGAAAGTAAAGAGTGAAAACGGGAGGAGGAAGCTTGAAACACCATGTAATGTAGTTAGGCTGAGCCATCATTTGTAGTTAGGAATAACTGCAGACGTGGAACTAAAGATTTCCTAACTTGGTTAGCTGGCCTGCTGCTGAATTGCCCTTGGTGCTGTGCTTTCCATTTATCTCTTCCTCAGGGCAAGTAGGTCTCACTGCTACTGTCCGCCTTCCTGGCACACTATATTTAGCCCTGTAGGGCATTGCCCCAGTGATGCTGTGGTGTTTTGCCCCAGTATTGTGTCTTTTTTCACAAAGAAGAGTTCTACTTTAAGCTGAAGCTTGTCGCTATTGAAATAGCGTGGGAATATCATCCAACATTTGAGGTTTGCCTTAATTTTGCTGGAAGAAATGCTCCAGTGTTTTTCTTTAGAAATCTCTTCACATTCCCAACTTTTCAACAACTTTAATTTTGTGGTGCAGTATCTCTCATTATTTAGGCAGTGTATGCAGAGACGCGTTAATGATGCAGAGAACTACAGCAGCCTTTGTCTTTTTGAGAACAGTCAGCAGGCATGGATAAAAACAATTAGAAATATTGAATTTTAAGTGTATAGAAACACAGGCTGACCTCTGTCCCTAAGCTGTCAGGGAGCTTAGTGCTGGATTGCATGTTAATTATCACTCTTCTACCCAAATTAAATTTGTTTTGCAAGGCTGCTTACTCTGATCCAAAGAAAAAAATAAATCTGTACTTTCTTCATGCTAATATCTTGATTGTATCCTGAGTACTGGTTACAAATCACTAGCAGTCACTCTTTAGCTATGCAGTACTACAATAGCTACTCCAATGTCAGATGGAAATTTCATTGTTGACATTTATCAATAAGCATTTCTTTTTTTATTTGTGGCATTGTTGTGGCTCAGAAAAGTATTTTTTTTTTTTCTACTTCACTGTATGAAGTTTGTGAGATGGAGGATAATGACAGCCTTCTGCAAACTGAGTTTAAGATGGTAAGCTGATGGTAGTAAATTAGATTACTGGTGTAGTGTAGCCTATCCCTCTGCATCTGCAAAGTGAGGGCAAAGGCATAAAATGTTACGAGTAATGTTATGAGTTTCTGAACAGTGGTTTCTGCTCGAAAGCATTTAGGGGAATCGGGATGCGCATACAGTCATCTCAAGTGGTATCTAGTAAAAAGAATGGTGTGCTAAATGAAACTCAGTGGAAAAAAAAGGGGCATCAAACACTGTCATCTAAATGCATAACTTTTAAATGTAGATAGGATGAAATGTCAGTTTGTTAGAGAATTTTCCTTTGGACAGCTGCATGTCAGCACTTTCATTTCAGACTGTTGTTCACCTAGCAGATTTTTAAAGTGATTTTGAAATGCTGGCTGTAATTGAAGCCTTATCTGCATTGAAAAAGTATCTAAATAAATCTGTTTGTAACGGATACTGGAGGATTGTTTAGATATTTATCACATCTTTTATTAGAAACAGGAAATGTTGTGATATTAACCATGATTGAAATCTGTAAGCGTCGGAAATCATGAGCTCCAGAAGCCAACGCTAGGTCTACACTTTTCCTTGGCAGCCTTTCAGTGTTAATCCCATGTATGAAGACATAACTGATAGAGCTACACTGATTAAAGCGTATGTGTGGGTATGTCACAATTACAGCTCTTTATCCAGCACAGAGAAATGAAGCTTGGAGCTTCATTTGGATGAGCTGGAGCAAGTTATCTTGGCAAAAGCTGACTTTTGCTGGCATAAGCTGAATTTTGCTGGCATATGCTGCACACACACTAGGAGTGCTTTGCCTTCAGAGAACAGCTATAGCTGTTCTGTGTGGAGATTGCCCTAGAGCTATGAAAGAGTTGTAGGATAGCACCATTCCTGCACCTACAAAGTGCTCTTACTGTAAAGAGATTTTAATATAACCTCGCAAATTACATTTTTATTGTATTTGTGTGGTATTTGCTAGTTCCTATCCTAGCCATCATTTCCTCTCTAAAAGCAGGATGAGGTTGCTTTGCTGAAGGGCAGAGTCCCATCTGCTGTACTGGAACAACACACTGGGTAAAGAAAATGCCCCTCTGCTACCTCATCTTTCTCTTCTAAATAGCAAAACTGAGGGCCAGCAGGCATCCCAGAACCTAGTTTGGGAGAAGCAGAAAGCCTTTTGGCTGTTCGAATGCCAGTTGGATCAGCCAGCTCTTGGGAGAGCAAGTAAAGAGGGGGGAATGCAGCTGTCAGCCCTGTTTTTCTGCTTTTTGAGAGCAGTAGAAGAGAAGAAAGCCCTGGATGAGTGTATTTGTACTGGGCCATGGAGCACCAGTGTGTAGGTACATAGCATTGCTCTGCAGAGGTGCTCTGCAAAAGCAGTGATTTCCTGTCCATCAGGACTCCAAATTTGACAGCATAAAGTCTGCCTTCTACTACTTTCCATTCTTCCCTTCTGACACTTGTATTCTTTGAGTCAGCTGGAGGAAAGTTTGGCAAGCTTCCACATGCACATGTGCTGTTGCATCTTGGGGCTTGTGCATACAGGGAGGTTATTTCAAAGTAAAATACAGCACGAGGATTTATGGAGCTATAAATTCTTGGCAGGATGGTAAACTGTTCTCCACAAATGCTTCATTAACTACACAGCTCAAAGAACTTGTATCCTTGTATAGATTGAGAAGGCTACATGGGTATCAATATTTTTTTTTGTGGGTGTTTTTTTTTTTTTTCAGGAAAAGGTAGCTTTTATATGTGTTGGAGGAAGCTCATATATACTTCTTACCTGTCTTTTTATTCAATTTACTAGAAAAAACTGCATTCCAGAAGTTTAAGAACATACATTTGACTGTGATGGCCATTTTTCAGAATAATTTATTTGTACAGTGATTTATTACCTTTCTCTTCTCCATCCCACTTAATGTGCTCCACTCTGCTTTCTGTAAAAGTGCTTCCTCCATAATTGGAAATCCACCTGCATGTATGACTAAGTCTTTTTGCCTTTTATTTATTATTTGTATTGCAGGAGTACTTAGAGGCTTTATTTATAGATTTATTTATCTCTAGTGGTTATGTGGCAATATATAGCTTTCTTCTCTGATCCATGTTACCATAATTTCTGAGCATAAGCCAATTGTTAATATATTTTCCCAGTATGGAATTACTGTGACTAAGGTACTATTTTTCCACATTTTCCCAATGGAAAACTGAAAAATAAAGGATTAATTTATGCTTCATCACAAGAAAATCGCAAGGACTGTGTAGGATCACTGTGTTGGCATCCACACTACTGAACTTTTTGCTCATTTTAAGAATGACTTAGATGCATCCATATTGCACAAGGCACCCTTGGGAATATGAACTGTCCCATGCATCCTTGCTGCATGCCACAGCCCTTTTTTTGTTCCTGACATGAGTCTGTATCCATCTGGGGATCTGTGTCCATCTGGATCTGTATCCATATGCTTCACGCAGGCAGAAATCATAGAATCATGGAATATCACAAGTTGGAAGAGACCTTGAAGCATCACCACTCCTGACTCCACAGGGGACCACCCAAAATTTAAACCCTATGTCAGAGTGCATCATCCAAATGCTTCTTGAACTCTGGCAGCTCAGTGCCATGACCACCTCTGAGCATCCTGTTCTAGGGCCTGACCAACTTTTCCTAATTCCCCCAACCTGACCCTCCCATGACGCATCTCTGTGCCATTCCCTCAGGTACTGTCACTGTAACCAGGAGCAGAGACCAACGCTGCCCATGCACTCCCTCACTCCCATTCTGAGGAAGCTGTAGGCTGCTGTGAGGCCTTCCCTCAGACTCCATTTCTCTTGGTTGAATAAACTAAGGGACCTCAACTAGTTCTCATACTTCTTCTGTTCTAGACCCATTCTCATCTTCACAGCCCTCCTTTGGATACTCTCTAATAATTTTATGTCCTTCTTATATTGTGACACCCAAACTTTCACACAGTGCTTGAGGTCAGCAGAGCAGCTCCTGATTACAAGCTTCTTTACCAGAAGTCTGCAATGAGGTCTCCCCGGAGCCTTCTCTTCTCCAGACTGAATAAGCTCAGCTCCCTCAGCCTGTTTTCATAGGA